CAAAGCTAGCAAGATGTAATTGGCCAAGTGCCCAGGCAACCAACTAAGCTGCCGTCCAGCTCAAAGCAGCGGTAGCGATGAAGAACAACAACAGAGAAAATAAAATTGGGGCTGGGAGGATCAGAAGATCCGGGGACGACCCAATTCTTGAAACGTTCGATTTGTCTTCTTCATATCCTTCTACTAGCAGGGAACAAAAGTCATGAAACAAGATATGTTGATTACGAGACGAGGCGCTTTCTCGGCTTCTACAAATGATCCCCACACGATTGTAGTATATATGTAATGTACACTAAAGCGCTCAAAGGAGCGAGAGCCTTGCCGGCAGCTTACATACGGCAGTCCCAGAACCAAGCCTAGGTAATATACACTAATCTATGTATACCTGTGTACCTACAATACATACATAAGACCTGGCAGGTGATTTGGACGGGATCCTATTCGATAACCAAACTACATAGGTAATATCTCGTACAAATGCGCCCTGCCCGTGACGTATGTTGACAGCTCAGCTCGCTGCGGTTCGCACACGTATCCCGCGAATCAGCCCTACCCAAAGGATAGAATAGGTACGCGGGTAAAGAGATACCTACTGTAAAGAGGCAGTCTCTCCGACCCAGCAGTACGGGACGTGGACACCCTCAGCTTCACTTCATAAGATTACTATTGATGAGATAGGCGTTACTAAAATGTGCTAAGAGCGACATATAGGATATATTTTCAGGGTCTTGCAGCTTTACGTTATATCCGCCTAATTATCCAGTCTCCCTAGTCTCGGTAGTATAGGTACACATGTGTGATTGGGTACCTAGTTCTATATATATACCTCCCTGTGACTCGATGGCTGAGTTTCCGAGCTTCTGACCGACAAAAATCATGCAAGGACGCCACAGCCTGTAAGGTCCTATGCACGTAGAGCCCGTACGACATGACAAAAAAACATCTTGAGAATACTAAAGCGGCAATAGAGTTGGTTGATGACAAGGGTTGCATAAAACAATCCGGAGCAGGTATTCTACTATGTACAGCTTCGTCCCATCTCTTGCTGCTTTTGCGAAATGCTCAATAGGGGGAATATAACTCGGGATATCAAAGGCGAACAACCCCCCTACTGCCAGCTCCCTCATTTACCCGGAATCAATAATCCATGACTACCTATTCACATCACCGCCCTGCCCCCCTAAAAACCTAGCGAGCTCTGCTGGCGTAGTAACGAGAAACGACTTATCGAGGATGGTATCACCTTCTCCTATGCGGCTCGTAAGAAAATAAGATAACGTCCTTGCCCTAAACCACATATCTGCCAACTCCATTTGCCCAAACTCTGCCTCCCCCTCTGTCGTCCCAAAAAGTATCAAACGGTATCCATGAGTTGCAGTTCCAAAAAATCGAGGTATAAGTAAACGCGTCCAAAAATTGAAGTCTGCCGAGAAGAGGCGCGACTTTTTAAATATATCGAAGTCTCATAATGTGTTATCTTCCAATCAGGAGAGATAGGTGTGTGTAGATGTGTTCCCTTGCTCGTTTAGCGAGAAAGGCCCTCAATCGGGCTGACGGGGAGACTCCGAGCAATGCTGAGGTCGGTGCTACCAGTACGTCTCAGGGCTTGCGACATGGTCTCTATGTTGAGATCTCCATTTACTGAAAGACTGTGCTCTGCAGAGGTAGGACTTCCAAGAGGTTTCCGGACAGGTGACATGCTTAGCCCCTTGATAGATCCCGAGATGCTGTTCGGTGGCGAGGTCTCCGGTCCCTGCGAGGAAACAGGTGATCTTATTGGGGAAGGAGAACGATTGACTCCTCTCGATCCAATAGAAGTCAGGCCAGCAAGATGCATGGAATCTCGGCTGCTATTCGGAGGTACCTGCTCTGCCTGGACCACATCCGCAAATGAAATGAAGCTCAGACGCCTAACATCAGCCGAGTCGAGTGATCCGTAGTTCGAGGCAGCCTCCTCCTTGTCGGAGAAGGCAGCAAGATCATCAGCCCACGAACTAGACGCGGTTTCAAATTGGGAAGCACCAGTCACAGTCACGCTGGCAGGTTGGTGCGCATTATGAGTTACGATCTCGACGGAGTCGGGGTTGAGGCGATCATCAGTAATAGCTTCGGAGGACGCGTCGAGGACAGGTGGAATGTAGTTTTCGGTCTGGATATGGGAGGGGATGGCCGGCGAATTAGGTATAGCGGTGGTACTTTCTTGAACGTCTCGCTCGAAGATTTGCGAACCTGCAGGAGAACTTAATCGCGGAGACGACGAATATAATCCCCGGCTAGGCGAGGACGGTGTCATATTGGGGCTACCAGCTGAAATTGGCGAGCTGGTCACCGAACGTTTCGTTGATGTATGAGGCACATCTTTCGCAGATGGCGAACTCGGTAGTCCCGAAGAGGATTGAGGGGAAGGTTTAGCACCAGGTTTAGAGTCACCCTTCTTCTTCCCAAATCCAAACAAACTTCGCTTCTTCGACTTTGGATCGGTTTTAGTTGAATCACTCTCCATCTCCTTCTCGTTGTTGTCTGTGATAGTTGAAGTTGAATCACCTTTGGTGTTACGGTTCTTTTCTCTCAATTCTGGAGCCAAATCTTTCTCCCGGTTGGGTTTTATAGAAACTGCCGGTGCAAGACTCATAGTGGATCGGTACCGCGGTTTTGAATGGGGTGATTAACGGGTAACCCTCAATGAGTGATATTTAATTCTAGAAGATGCCAAGACAACCGTTAGCACGAGACCAAAAAAAATGACGGAACCAAAGGCGACGGAGCGTATATGCCAAATAGGAATCCCCGTCTTGTAGTAGAAATAGTGCAAATGTTGTTGTTGCTGTTGCTGTTATTGCAAAGGGGGAAACTTGGTGTTTGGCAAAATTGATGGGGAGTCCTTATGACTCGAGTAGAGAGAAGAGTAGGTAACCCAGGTCTGTTATTCTCGCGTATAATAAATTATCGGGGTATTTTAATATAGATTTAAGTAGACTGCCACTTACCCTCCGTTGGTGCACCTGCGAGTAAGTGGAAATTGACCAAGTTCGACCAGGCGGATTTTAGTTATTCTTTCTTACTTCTCACTATTATGGTAGGAGAATGTCTTGCGTCTGCCTGCCCTATCACTTGTTCTTGCTAGGTGTTGTTGGTACGGCTGCAACTATGCGGATGCGGTTGCAGATGTAGTTATAAGTGGAAGGGTGAGAATCTGGTACAGCACGATGCAAGAGGATGCAAGTGTGCAGTTTGGGGTAGGAAGCCTTGGTAGAGACCCTGTTGACGATCGCTTCTTGTCCTAATACGTAACAAGTCTAAACTAGGTCCAAACCAGGAAGACCAGGGAGACCAGGGAGAGGATGAAGCAGGTGACAGGCAGCGACGATCAGCAATTTGCTTGTGTGGATTAATGACGCTGATGGATCGTGGTTAATAGATGGTGACCTTGGTAACCATGTCTTTCTAGAATAGTGAAGATGATGACGATAGAGAAGGGATGGGTTTTGTGTAAGTGCCTGGCGTGCCTTGAGTATATTAGGTAGGTAGGTATGCTGGTCAACTATTTAGGTACAGTCATCCAGGATCATGGGACGGGTCGTCGGTCATTAATTGAGCCCGAAAATATCAGCCTCGAGGCGGAGGGCAAGGGGATATGCGAAGAAGGAAAAGAAGAAGAAGAAAAATAAAGAATAAGGTGCTAAAGGCGGGATGCCAATTAATAATAGAGCTTGACCTATGCAGGTTTTTTATTTTTACTCGTCACGATCAAGGTTCACATATGGAAGCGATCAGATCAATTATGCTTGCTTTTTTTCTCTCTCTTACAAGCAAGCTTTGCGCTGATATGCTAGGAGCCCACTTGGCATTCCTAAAAAGCTCGTGAGTGCGCGCGTTTGTATATGTACTGTCAGACATAAGATCAATACAGCTAAGAGATAAGAGAGATGACAAGAAGAAATTTCTTGCTTCGATACCGGAAACCTGGGTGTGATACGGTATCACGTAAACACAGTTGATATCAGAAACACGAGGGGATATCGGGAATGGCTAGCTAGTCTTGGGTATTCTGCTCATCAGGTTCTAAAAAAAGGGGGGGCCGCAACAGGCGACGTCACTCGTGGTGACAGAATCCAATGATCGTCAAGGATGCGAACAGGGCCAGGATGAGGGAATGCCCCCCATCAGAGGCACGACTTTCGATTGTTTTTCCCAAGCCCGATTTCCCAACCCTGTTAAAGTTTCTTACTCGTACATATATTATTATTTATGTAACGATCACGGTCATGACCGATAGTGAACCCCTCGCGACGAAACTGGTGATGAACCAGGACAAGTCTCGAAGGAGGGACATTAAAGGCCATCTATTGGGCCTTTTACAGTCCCGCAGCTTGTCGCATTAACATCAATGCAATCCCACGAGCTGAAAATAGGCGAAAGGACCAGTTGAGACGACCATGGCCCAACAACCACAATGCTGACACAGCCTGCCTACGACTGGCAGCACGCCACTGGCGACCAATTCTCTAACCTGGAAAAAAATCCTGTAGAACATACCACCACGTCCGTCGTCCTGAGCCCAGACAGATCGGGAAATATCATCTACCTAGTTATGTGATTTAGGTGGTTTAGAGTAGTACCATCGACGCCATGTCTTGTAACGCACAAGCAGGGCAAACCCCCCCTTAGATATTGATACGCAATGATAGTTATTTTCGTCGCAATCTCAGTCTTTGCCTCCCGTCTCTCTCGCAGGTCGTGGGGGCAAGGGCATTACCGTTGAGGGTACCAGTCAAGCATGTAGGCTGAATCGATTGGATGAACCTAGAGATACCAAGGCCTGGGCCGTCTGGCACATGAAACCTCGAACTCGACCTAACGTAGATACGTCACTTATCATGAGGGGTCACCATGTCGATTGGCCCAAAGAGGTGGGTTTAATTGATTAGAGGGTTGAATCGACGGAGTTCAAAGAGAAATCTGTCGGTCACATAAGTGCATAAATATTTACGTACCTGCATATATATACATATGTACTTGACTCAACACACGGACCACTAGATTAGCAGCAATCCAGTTGCCTTAGGTAATAGTTGCCTTAGGTAATACATAGCACACCTCTAGCAGAATGTCACATGACCCACCCCATCCCACTCGGCCCGCGGGATCCTCCGACAAAATTTCACCTGCACCCGCTTTGCCTATGGAAGTTATCGACTAAATTCGTAGAAGAATTCGAGGGCTACTCCCGGAGGAGAGGGAACGAGACAGCATTCTCCTAATTAAGCAGTCTTCCCTCTCTCAGGCGTGACATCCTTCTTTATCCTCACGCAAAGTCTTCAACACTTCCCACAAGCCAGAATGGAGGCTCGACCCCTCGTGCAGCCTCTGCTGCGCTCCATCAGCACATGTACCTCGATGAATACAAGAGCAGCAGTAACAATAGCCTCTATACCACGACGACACCAATCCTCGACGTCCCGCACAAAGCGCGCCTTGAAGATCGCCCCTCACCCCTCCTTCTTCCCCACCTCGGCCTCCTCCTTGCGCGAATCCACGCAGGTAATCTACAACCCGCCGTCCTCGACGCCCTCCGTCTACCACACCCCCTTCAAATTCCTGCCTCCGAGCGACCCCCGGCGGAAAGCCAATCTAGCCCAGCTCTTCCGCACCTCCGACGACGCATCCTCTTCGAAGTCGGTCCTCCCTCCCGAGCTCAAGGACCCCGAGCGCAGGTACAACGTGACGCGGGAGCAGGTGGAGGAGATGCGGTCGCTGCGGGCCACGGACCCGGAGCGTTGGAGCGTGCTGGCGCTAGCCAAACACTTTGGCTGCGCCCCGTATTTCGTCATGATGTGCTGCCGCGCACCGACCGAGCATCGCGAGCGGGAACGCGCGCGCCTGAACGCTGTTAAAGAACGGTGGGGTGCTATTCGCGCGACTGCTCGTGAGGAGCGGAAGAAGCGCAGGGACTTGCTGCATAAGGGTCTATTATAAGCGTGCTAAGCTATCTATGCGTCTACCTATTCGCCTATGCATATCCCTCCCTAGTACCCAGCTGCCTCAACCTGCCACAACACGAGGGGATTGGCGGGGTGTCTTGGCTTTCTATCCTCGATGAGAAGTGGAACGGGACGGAAAGGGTGGCCAATTCTTGCCTGCTAGGAGGAGATAGAGGTCAGAATCTGGTTAGGAAATCTCCTATATACCATCGGTCCCAAGTGAGGTGACTTGTATCTATACCTACGTATGTATATAGTAAGAGGGGATTGGGGACGAGGCAGACGACCAACAAGTGAAACCGGATGGATACAGATCAAATCGAAATCACAGCTCTAGGCTGGGAAGCAGACCTATATGTATCACCAGACCTTAAAAGAACAATAAAATTGTACATCACCAACGAGCCAATGTAGGATGTGTCATCATCAACCTTGAATTGATGCATCTCACAGACACCCAATAAGACCCAATAACTTATATCCGAGAGCTACTTTCTCTTTTTCTCGAGCGCATAAATCTTGTTTATGCCTCTACTTTTATCGTGATATGATATTTATATAAGACGTGCCTTATACCATATTTAGAACATTCATCAATAAGCCCCAATTATTCCGTTCATATTTTTTCTATTCGCTATTTACGCCTAAGGAACCCTTTTTATATTTCCGATTTACATAGCTCATTTAACCCCAGAATCTGCAAGATGTAGTATGATCTAAGTATACAGGTAGCTCACCACCGTATTTACTAATTACCTAGCGTTTGTGGGGGAAGAGCTTTATTGCTTCCCGTTTGTACTGGCGTTTGTGCTGTGAGCCTTCGCAACCTCCCAGTCCTTCTTCCCTGGAATCACTCTCCAGCACCAGCCGCACCAACTACGACTGCGTCCTGAGACCTCTCGACCCAGGATCTCACCCTTGTTCTTTTCATCTTCCCACTCGGGGACGCAGGCGCCAACGCGCACGATCCGCACGAGCTTCGTCTTGACTACGCCGCCGATGCCCTCAATTTCGTGACGGGCGTATCCGGGCCTTAGCTGCGGGCTCGGCGTCCGGCGTTCGGACGGCGGCGAGCCGGAGATAGAAGATGCCGGCGACGGCATAGTCCAGGGCGACAGGGTGCCGTTATTCTCATCCTGCTCCCGGGCATCCGCAGCGTCGCAGTCGGTTTCCTGTTCCCGCTCCTTGGAGCCGCAACACGCCGCCTCTCGGCCGCAAATCACCCCCCGGTCACCTTCGCCGATACCGGTACCGAGACCCCCGAGCACCTCGCCGTATTGGTTACGCCATTTCCAGATACTACATCCGGTTAGCTTAGACGAAAAAAGGAGGTGATCAGATGATCAGGAGATACGTACGCCTTATAGTCGTGGTCTGCTCCGCGAATACTCCTCCCGCAAGGTTGGCAGAGCCAAACTCCCTTTGTGTCACAGGTGCAGATTGCCTGCTGCATTTCCTCCGCGTCTACGAGAGTGTCTGGTGACAATGACGGTTTGACAAGGCTTCCTAGCGGAGCCTTGCTGCATGGGAAGCACAGTCTGCGATGCCTGTCGCGAAGCACAACGGGAGCCGGCGGCTTGATGGCGCAGTTCTAGCACGTATATCGTTAGATGCACTGCCAGAATGATTCATTGAGCAGTAAAATGCTTACCCGGCATACAGCCGTTGCGCATCGCCTGCATTCGGCTACCATATCTCTCGCGCAATTCCCGCTTTTACCATTATAGTCCCCGGTCCGACCGTCTTCCATATAATACCAATTCCCTGCTCGGGCACGGTAACGAAAGGTGTCTTCGGGGTCGACGGGTATATCCTCGTTAACGCAATGGAGGGTATGCGCAAGAAGGGTGCTTCGATACTGCAGAAGGGCCTGGTGGACCTGGCGACAGGTACGAGACAGGTTATCGAGCGTGTTCAGGTCGATAGACGACGCAATCGCCATAACGATACTGGTGGTCGAGTCAGCCTTATCTCCCCCGGCTTCACACGAGGAGTATGACAGCCAAGGGGAGGTTCTGCTAATAGAAATGCCATAAGTGAGGTTGCGTCTGCCTACGGATAACATCCGAGAGCCTCCGCCATCCCATTATGCTCGTTGAGGTTCTCTGGTTCTCGATCTATCGTAGTCTCTTGGCTCTCTCCTCCGTGTAGCCCGTTCAGCCCATTTGGCAGCTGCTGCTTGACGCGCTCGCTATTCCACTCGGGCTTTAAGCCGTAATATTGTGTCTGCGGCGGCTCGGCCTCCTCGTCGAGGTCTACGAAAAGTGCCATCTTTGGTGATGCTGAGGGAAGGCCAGCGTGTCGGGTAGGGGGGGAGATAAGATAATAAGACGGGAGGTCAGGTACCCGGGTTGAAGGTTAGAATGAAGAGGAATGACGAATAAGAAAAAAATCGGAGACTTTGAAGTTTAATATATAAAAATGTTCCCGGAAGGTCTCAACGACATGGGAACAATTCCCGAGTCGGTAAACCCCAACCGTTGCGATTCGTGTTTGGATGAAGTATATGCGATGTATATAGGATGTAATGTATTCCGTAATTGACCTATCGTAGGTACGAATATAGACATGTACGAATACTTACATGTACATCGATCGTATGTACATTATGGGGCTGGGGGGGTCTATTGACATTATGTCAGCAAAGGTGTCAGTGTAATTACATAATTACAGGCCCTGATACTATGTTAAGACCGTGTCAACAGGTTAATATAATGTCTGCAAGGCTTGTTGTATCGATTTTATTGCAGGTACTTACAAGTTAGTATTAATAGATAGTATGTCAAGGTATTTATTATGTCAGAGGTACTGTCTATTTCGCCGTAATTGCCAGGCCTGTTGACGATGTCCAGGTAGCCACTATGTCTACCACGATGTCAATAGCGGCCACGATGTCTATATCAATACGATGTCAGTACTAATACTATGTCAGTATCAATACTATGTCAGCCCCGGGTATATACAGGTTAAATAAAGGCCTGGAGTATGTATATATACTGCAATACAGTAAACTTTAATTATTCGTAATCGTAATGACCTCGTAGTGTAATGGTAAAACACGTAGCCCGTAACATCGTAACATCGTAATTCAACGTATTGACATAATCTTTTCAATTGACTTTTACATGTGCCTGTGCCTTTGTATATATATAAGTATGTTGAAGGCCTTGTATTAGATTACAAGGCCTTCTATTCTTTTTTTTTTTTTTTAATATATTATATTACCTGGCCTGACATGGTCTTGTATATGACATATATCGATTAGGTGACTGTGACTACCGTTGGTGACGATATCTAAGAGGCTATTCTTTCCCAATATATCAGTATTTTGAAAGTAATACGATTACAATAAGGTATAATCGTGTACGTACGGTAGCTATTTCAGACCTGGTCATCTTCATAATCTGGATATAATCACCCCCGGGGGTGACCATATTACAAATACTAGCCAATCGGCGTAGTAACAGTCATTTGACATGCGCATGGCCGACATTATGTCCACACCTCAACACGTATGCTGACACCATGTCAATAGACCCCCCCAGCCCCATAATGTAGGTAGGATTGATTCATCGATACCGCAACTGCCACATCACAATCCACGATTAAAAAATAAAATAAAAGTATAGTAGCTACATTAGCGGGTGGGGGGGGTTTATTGACATTATGTCAGCAAAGGTGTCAGTATAATTACATAATTACAGGCCCTGACACCATGTCAAGACCGTGTCAACAGGTCAATACAATGTCTGCAAGGCTTGTTGTACCGATTTCATTGCAGGTACTTACAAGTCAGTACTAATAGATAGTATGTTAAGGTATTTATTATGTCAGAGGTACTGTCTATTTCGCCGTAATTGCCAGGCCTGTTGACGATGTCCAGGTAGCCACTATGTCCACAACGATGTCAGGAATTCAACACGATGTCAGAGATTTAATACAATGTCAGCCCCGGGTATATACAGGTTAAATAAGGGCCTGAAGTATGCATATATACTGCAATACGGTAAACTTTAATTATTCGTAATCGTAATCGTAATGACCTCGTAGTGTAATGGTAAAATACGTAGCCCGTAATCGTAACATCGTAACATCGTAGCCTGTAATTCAACGTATTGACATAATCTTTTCAATTGACTTTTACATGTGCCTGTGACTTTGCTGTATATATATAAGTATGTTGAAGGCCTTGAATTAGATTACAAGGCCTTCTATTCTTTTTTTTTTTTAAATTATATTACCTGGCCTGACATTATGGTCCTGGCTTGACACAGTCTCGTACGTGACATATGTCGATTAGGTGACCGTGACTACCGTTGGTGACGATGTCTGAAAGGCCACTCTTTCCTAATATATTAGTATTTTAAACGCAATACAATTACGACGAAATATAATCGTGTACGTACGGTAGCTATTTCAGACCTGGTCATCCTTATATTTTAGATACAATCACCCCTGGGAGTGACAATATCGTACATATTAGCCAATCAGCTAGGGGACTGATTCTTAAGCGGCGCACCGCCGACATTATGTCCACCCCTTAACACCAATGCTGACACCATGTCAATAGACCCCCCCCACCCGCTAATGTACCTAGTAATAGTTTAGGTACCTAATGCACCTAATAGCGTCCCCATCTTTACTCGAGTAAATATTACGTGTGCGAATGTACCTTCTTCGTATTGTCTTTATCAGATCCGTCACCGCGCACCGGTACGCATATTTGCACGTCTTTAGCAGGTTTAACAGAGTTACCGGCTTGTCTGTAGTAGGCAGGTGGGGTCGGAATTGAGACAAGTAATTCGCTACGGCTCCGCGCATTGATCAGCGCTACGAGACGCTAGCATCGCAACGGGGGGAGGCTATGATCCGCCCTTTACCTAACAAGCCTAACTGTATTATAGCACGCCATCTAAGAACTCAGCGCAGTCATCAGGGGCAGAACCTGTAATTCCTTACCCTTTAGGTTTAGATCGCTCCTTCAGTCGCGTTTGAAGACCCTCTTCCTTCATGTTAAACGTTCACGTGTCCTGCAGCTATCGTGAGACCTCAACGGCCTACATATTCTAGTTTTTCACCGATGTTAATATTTTGTAGTATATACTGCAGTACCTGCCTAGGTACATCTAATGTTGCACACCGCTCACGAATACAAAGACAGAACGGACGAATAGCTACCGCTTATCTTAAACGTGCCGGATCTTCCGTTACCTTCCCCCCCTTTTTTAATAGGAGCTCATACTTACACCGACATAATTCCCCCCTTATTCCAATCTTCAATTTTCGTTATTCGTCATCTGTCATTCATATGCTGGATGGGCGGAATGCCGTCCAAAGGCATGAACCATACTGTGGTAGCTGGTATTGGGTATCTTTTTTGACGCTATTCTAATAAAACAGTAGTCAGACAGCGATGATAGATCTCATAAGTTCCATGTTTCTGTTTTCAATGCCAAGCCGGTCTCAGCTTCCCAAGAATATTATTAGTAATAATTATGGGCGCCGCCCTTGTTCGCGTGTAGGCGCGTGACGATAGAATCTAAGGGGTTTTACCTAAGGTTACCACCAAGAAGGGAATGTATGTAAATCAGGTCGTCCATCTCAAGTTCTCAACGCTCTTCAATGCTCCTCAAACTACCGATAATATACCTTTCCCTCCACTCTATCCAGTAAGCTAGGAACTGCCTATACCTACTTATTATCATATACATATATACTATATGCTCATTTCCACACCATTAAACCTCCATATACAATTCACCATGAAAATACCATGAGTGCCGGATTCAGCACAACGGGTAGCAAAAAATGGCAGCCGACGGTCCAAGCGAGCGGCCAGATCGACGCTAAGTGCACGATTCTCCATTGGCCAGGGAACACGAAATAGCCGCATATGATAAGTGCGGTCATGAGGATGCACCAGACGAAGGTGCCCTTAAAACGCCTGAGCAATCGCGGTATCTCTTCGAGAAAATTGACTTCTTCGACTTCTTTGGCTGTTGCGCCCCAGACCATGTCGACGCTAAAGAAATGGCATAGCAGCGCCTGCGAGACGTGTAGAGATAAGCCGCCCAAGAAGATAGTCATCAGCGGGATCCATTTGATGTTGTTCCAGACTAGACATACATGTTCAAAATCAGTCTCTCATCTTTAGATAATCATGCGTGTAGTATAAAACTCACAGGCCCCCAGGAGCGACATCTCGTTCAGGCGATACCTCAAGATAGCTAGTGAGAAGTTTCCAAGCCCCGTAAAGACTACAATGACCGAGATGTATATGGCAAAGGAGTCTATATAGAACTTGTCGTAAAACCCAAAGAACCATCCCGACAGCAAATAGTTCATGAGGGTTAATATCCAACAGGCTCCAATGGCATAGTACGTGCCGATGTAGGCGCAAATAGTCATCTTCTTAGGCAAGTGTATACCGGAGAATATAAATTTTCGAAATAGAGGCGTGACGGGACCTAGCTTGAACCAAGACTTTATGGGGTGAAACAACAATTCATTGCAGCCGTATGCGTATTTCTCCCATCGTGCTAATTCGTCGTATACCGTTAGGGAGACGCCCTCCTGAAAGCCATCTCCGGTATAAGACGCGAACCTGAGCTCATACCCGGCACACTGGAGCTTAAGAGACATTTCAAAGTCTTCGGACACATGGGTCTCAGACCAGTATTTTTCATAGCCGTCTTCGTCTTGGTACACGGTGGCATCCTGGATGGCAGACCATCGTAGCATGGCGTTGTGGCCCACAAAGGGGCAAGCGTCACCATTTGCTACTACAAAAGTGATAGCTGAATAGATAAGATTCGTGAACCATTTGACCCTGTGGTCGTGTTAGTGCGTGTATGTGTATATATATGAGTGACGAACTTACCCTCCCTCGAAAAAAGACGGCGAGACTTGCATGACTCCAGATGTGAATTGAAGTATTGCTACCTGAGGAGACTTCTCCATCTCGCTAACAGCATCTAACAAGCAGTCCGCTGGCACACGGGTATCTGAGTCGACTATCAGGATGTAGTCGCCCATGCGGACATTGCCCTCGGCCCAAGTGCGGCCCTGATCTTCCCGTAAGACTTCAGAGAGGCAATGGTTATACACAGCCTGTTCATCAGTCTCGGTCCAATCCGGGGATCTGGGTATTTGAACTAGCTTATCTTCCACGCGATTACTTACCATCAGAGCGTAGTTCATATTTGATGCCTTTTTGAATTTTCCCCGCCTAAGAAAGGGTTGACTACCATCGTCTGGCTTCGGATTGTGCCCCGGTCGAGCGACCCAGCCGATATTGTTCTCCTCATAGAACTCCTGTCGAGCACAGGCATCCTCTTCGGAAATTAGCTGCATGCCGTCGTCGTTTATGAAAATGCTAGCAGAACCGCCTTGTAACGCGTATGTCGAGATGCATTTTTTGAGCGATTGGATTGAGGGTCCGATAACTGCCTTCAGGCCTTCTTTGTACACGGGCATCTGAATGGTTACATGAGGCAGGTTGTTGACCTCTCGTCTAAGCCGCATTGGAGGCTTTCCGGAGTAGAACCTCGAGTTCTTGTCGACAGCAGATATCGGTCCCATTATTTGGAAAAGGTTCGTGATTAGCGACTGAAAAAAGAAAAAGGCCACCCACGTTTCGACCGGAATGGCGGCAATAAGTGCTAGTCGAGTAAACGAGCCATCAGTTTGAATTTCGAATGCCAAAGCCCTTAGTCCAAGGCCCATGCAACTTATGCAGAGAGCCACCGTCACGGCTACAATGCCCGAACTGCTAAGCTTGGTTGGCCTCGGCTCCTCCTTGCCTTCATCCTCTAAGTCTACCGCTGCTATATTTACTTCAGCAGCTTGACTCTTTTCGCCCTTCTCTTCTCCTCCTTCGTCTTGTTCGTCATCATTTTCTCCAGAACCCCAAATAACTTTCATCAGCTCTGCTTCTAAGGCCTCTGCCCTAGCCATAAGTTTCTTCGGGTTATCGTCCCAGATGACGAGAATCTTGAGATCATCGATGAATGCAGCAAAATGATGCTTCTGACACTGCGGCAGGTCACGCATGCAGGGGAGAACCTGTAAGCGGAGACCATCAGGAAGTGGGATATAGTCTTGCGTCGTCCGTTTCGAGGTAAGCATGACAGTGATGACCCTTGTATTGACTGTCATGGCACACTATAGACATGTTAGCTTCTTATTTATTTCAACGTTCGAGGGGCTTACTAACTCGAACATTCAGCTCCATCGCCATTTGAAACAAGCCGTAGGGCACGTCTCGAAGATCTGGCGGATAGCACGCAAAATTTTTCTTGCTCCTCTTTATCACGACGCCTTCCCCGGGCATCAGGCCGGTGGCGTATTGCTTTTCCAATTGTTGTTGATATAACCAACTGCACATGATATCTGATTTGAAACCATGACCGCTTTCTAGATTGTTTTGTGAACTCGCATAATCAATTGCAGGACTTTCGAATATGGATAGCGACAGTGGTGATGTTTGTGATGTTCGATAAGGGGGTTTAGGTGTTGCTATCCCTGGATCTAAACCGGTAGACAAATTTGCTAACGGGATATTGGATTTTGAGTTGCTTGGGCCAGCATCGTTCCGCCTCAGGGCTGACCTCTCGCTATAATCATCTTCCCATCTTTCCCCCTTAGTATGACCAGGAGCGGTATACGTCCCGGGGGGGTTCATCTCGCATGCCTCAGTAGGGAAAGGCAACGGCTACTATCCTCAGCGGCGATAGATTATTAGATGTGAAATGACTATAGCATGGACCTTTTTTTAACTTCCTAAAAGTATAATAAGAAGGGCACTGAAACCTGTAAGGAGCGACGTATCCAAGAGAAAACGATAAAACACACGGTACTCTTCAATTCTATTGTGCGTTGGGCACAACGCTTTTTCTAGTAAAACACGGAATCTCATAAGATACAATGGACATTGCCTCTAGTCCAACAGTGCGGCTAGCATTTGCTGGGTATTACTTGAAGCCCGTTGATGATAACGACAAGACTGACACGACATATTGGAGAGCTGAGCCAAGCCCGAAGCCACCAGACGCACTATATGATAAAACGGGGGAGGCTATTGGTGTTTGAACTTGTCAGAAAATTCCCCACTTGGAAGGTCAATGTGCAACCCCGTATCGATGGTAATACGGGTTCATGTGTGCGTGCGATAGTTGGAAAACATATAGTGGGTAGCAATAAGAACGGAGCTGGCTGCAAGGGCGTTATATTCGTTAGAGCCTAGACTCGATAGTTTGAGGCTCGAGACCGGCCGACCAATTCGCACGACACCGATGATGGAAGAATGCGCGCTCACTGAAAGTAAGCCTGCATCATATCGAGCAGGGGCGATAATCACGAGCAGTTGAGAAGACCGGACATGATGGCCCGGGTGTATGTACAGATTTGGGAGCGAACTTCTTTCTTCGGCTCGGTTGCTTAGTTGCTAGCTTTCGAGTTTCCAGCTTATTGGCTACCTCTTGGGAATTATCGACGCAGGGCTGAGGGCCTTATTGTCCACAGCATTATCTATTGCGTGCCACAAGCGGGCCAAGGACGAAGGAGGAGGGTGCAGGTATCACGAAACTGAGAAGCTGAAGACTTAACTATTGTTTGGTGTATCGGCCAGGGCTGGCGGAGAGATATGGTAAAAGTAATATTGAACCCACTGGGATGCTGTGGCTGGATTCAAGATTAAATCTATTGATGTTTTAGCACAATAGCCTTTTAAAGCAGCTGTTGAAGGAGCGAGAATAATCCATGACTTGAGATGGGACTGACCGTTCAATCAAAACCCGAACGTAAGATACCTATCTAGCCGTGGATAGTGACTATTGACTATTGACTATTGAGTATTAGCTATTGGCTAGATAACCGCTCTGTGGGCTGACCTGTTGACTTCAACTTCATATGCAGCTCTCGGAATGCAGCTCTCGGCCCTTCAGCAAAGTTTTGGGGTGTAAGAGTCGCAATCAGAACATTTGCCACATCAGCCGCATATACTACCTTCCATGCATGCAGCTGTGTAGGTATCATGAGGAAGACTGGTTTGTCATTCAACTCTGGGCATGTCAAGCCAGGGTCGGGATTGCCCCTCTGTTCTTATTTTAGCAAAGTAGCACCAATGGCGCCGCTTTAGAAACCGATCCGAGTCTTGACGTTAATAAAAATACTTGAGTAAGAGAAGATATTGTATAAGGATAGGTATAAACTCGAGGTTGAGTGAATCCACCGAGGCCGTTTGATACTTATAGTGTATGTCCATGTATATACCTATATAAGAGTCTGAGGTTAAGGTTAAGGTTACTACCTGTCAAACGTGAAGGGTTTCTAAGGTTTCTAGTATTTAATGAGAGAGGCCCCCAAGTTGCCGGCTCAATATTTACCTGGTAGGTTAGGTAATTTAGGTATTGACACCCTAATGCTTACCAATTCTTACATATTTATATAGTCGTATCCTTTGGCAACCGCTAAAAGGCAACAACACCTCCTCACATCCTTTCCCCTATACCACGTATGCTGGTATGCTGGTATGTGATAAAAAGGCGCGAAAGTAATGGTCAATAAATTAAGATAACATAAAACATTTCGATTCGTGTAGTAAGGTAACTTAAATATTGTATGGTATATTGTATGGTATATTGTATGGTATGTGGTGGGTTTCAGTTGCATGAACAACTGTCAAAGACAACGAGGTTTTCTCATCACAACTCAGCTCCACAAGGTGAGCCGCGAAAAGCTGCGAGAGTTCCAAGGGCGGTAAATGTGGGAATATCTGCAAGGGCGCTAATGATAAAAAATATTAAAAAAAAGATATGGCGTCATATAGTGGCGATGTTCTGATGAATTTTAAGATTTTTTTTTTGCCTAAAGAATAGAAGCGAAGTGCGGTGTCGGACGCAAGTAGAATTCTATATATGGGTCTTACAGAGATAACGCTGGGTATTCGCAATCTTTTTTTTTTTTTTTTTTTTTTTTTTTGGTAATTAATTCCATATAATATTGATTCTTTAGTTTTACCTCATTGTTATTTCATGTGACATCATGCGTGCGTGCCCCAGTGTTTGTCGGGCCGTCTCAACTGAGGTTTCTCAAGCCGTTCCATACCTCTCTCGTAATTCATTATTTATGGAAAACTAGAATAAGTTTTTTGAGGATGGGTTTAGGCGTGTGAGACATGCCATCCCAACATCCGTAGCAATATCGTCACTCTACTCGTCGTACAAATGGGGTATACCTTAAAAAACAATCGGAACACTACCGACGTGGAAGATTTAAATAACTGCCCCATTGGATACTAGGGAAGTTAATATATTTTAACTTGGTGGGGTTGTAACCCAAGCGGGGCCGATGCTTTCATTGTGCAGCTGGTTGAGCTTAGTCAAAAGACCCTGATATTCGAATACATGAATGGAAAATGGCAGAAATGAGATTGAATTCTAAGAGCCGGCGAACGGGATCGAAATATATTTGTGTTATGAAATGAATAGTTTCTATTGACTCAATATATATATATACCTATATATGATATCGATAAGCTCATTCAGATGCAAGCTTATATAAGACTTGAATTAGTCAACTAAATGAAGCAGCTCCGACTATTGTTTTACCTACCGTTCCCGCAACCTTATATTGGTAATGTGGTCAATCTAGTCTAAGGTAACTTGGCTACTCTAACACCTCTCGTCTGACATCATACCCCTGCTAAATGTTCTTGCCAACGTTTCTTATCTGAGAGAATAAACCTACTCCCTTTGCACTTTGCCCGCACTTCTAACATAAGAGTCCCTTCTATATCCTAACTCCTAGTTATACTTCTCCAATATTTACCTTCTTACAATCCCCTATTGAGTGTTTTCTTCCCCTCCCGGTCCTAGTTGATTGTTTTATGTTCTTTTTCCTGGTGACGTGCGCAAGGACCTGTGATTGATCCGATCGTGGTGGCTACCAAACAACGCTTTACCTACAGTGGGGCGAATTTAAAAACGTCCAAAATGGTTTTTACATTTTATTACATGAACTTTAATATACTATAACTTAACCAAACCAACGTATAAAAATATGATAAAATATATAATATTTACTTTATTTAATATAAAGTAATTAAGATATTTTTTCAGAATTTTAAATGTTAAGATAAGCTTAAAATTTAAAGATATAAAAAATATGTTTTAAAAAAACCTTTTAAGTTTAATACTTATTTTCTTAATATATTTATATGTAATTAAAATATTAAAAATATTTTTTAAATAAAGGATGTTTTACGGTTTACAAATATATTATTTTTATAATTATCATAAATGAATTGGTAAAGATATATGTACTTTTATAAAAATAAACCTTTTAAAAGTCGAAAATATTACCTTTTCCCATATAAAAGTAGTAATTTTCATAATACCACCACTTTCATATTAAATCCCCGCGCCTAGACAATTTTAAGAATTAATCTAAATCAGTAGAAATAATATTTTACCAGTTATTAAAAGGTTTATCAAGTTTCAAGTATTAATTCTATATAAATATGTCAAGTTATACCTATCAAAAATTGGTGAGTTTTGGTGTAAAAACGGCATTGGACGTTTTTTTTTTCCACTCACTGTAGAATCGTCCCACGATCCCCTCGCCCCCCCGCGTGCGCCGTAATACGTACAAGTATATAATCCCGCGATTTCGACCCTTTCATCTCGTCAAATCTTACTTGGGCCAAACCGCTGGTCACGGGGACATATAGTTACGGAATTCTATCCTATTTAAGAGAAGAGCAGGCCGTTGATTACGACGAGATAAAAAAGAAAACCTCCGGAATACCCCCACCGGCCACATTTAAAGCACCCTCGTCAATTGAGCGAGTGTCTCGTCATTTAAGACTCCTTTCTCCTTGACCCCCTTTTATTTCCCACAACGCCTGCGAATTGCTATCACCAACTCGCCATGGCCGATTTACTGACTCCGGGTTTCGCAAAAGCCCGACGCGATGCCAGAGACGGGATTCGCGGAAGTGACGATTGGGGTGTCTACGATGACGCGAGAACGTATTACGCCTCTGATGCCCGGCACGGCGATCGATCACACAAACGCAATCGCACATATTCTCAAGTACGTCATACCGTATTTTATTTTCACACGAGATTCGTTCGGAACACTGGCTAAGATCATTTAGAATGGCATCATCCAAGAGATTGAGCGTATGGGACTTCGCGAACCACACAGACGAGGCAGTCATGGTACGAAATCACCCTTACGGAATAAAATAGGAAAATAGGAAGAAACTAATTCATGTTGTCGTCTAGATGAATCAAGCAGACCACACTCCCGCCAATTCCTCGTCGATGTCGACCATACCCTAGAAAGTTTACAGGCGCAAGAAGATACAGATGGCAACAAGCAAATTACGATCGAGGACGCTGGTCCGAAGGTAAGTCTTTTACTAAGAACTACTCGTCGGTGATAGGTTCTAAGGCGTCATATCTAGGTCATGGCTCTTCGAACTGCTGCATCTGGTGGCCACAATCGATTTGATATCCGGGGCACATACATGCTTTCGAATCTCCTGCAAGAATTATATATGGCAAAAGAGTTTGGGCGAAAGCGGATCATCCTTGATATTGGACGTCTTAACGAGAATCCAGTTAGCAGACTGTCGAGGCTTATCAAGAATCAATTCTGGGAGGGGTTAACCCGTCG